GAATTGGTCAAGAAAGAAACTCAGTTCAATGGGAATTGTCCAAGTTTGAGTAAACATTTCTCTCACAATTTGAAGGATTCCTACACATTTGTGAAGACCATATAGGATTTGCATAACAATAGCAACGCAGTGTCTACCGGCTGATTTGACATTGCTAGATTATTCATTAATCAACTACTAAAGAATGCCTTACTCATTTATAATGCAGTACAATATCATGGCTATTTAGACCCATCACCATTGTGTGAATCAGTATTCTTAGAACTTCTGAATCCGGCAGCTGGTGTAGTCGAGTTTGATTTAACAATGCAATGCCTGTTCAAATAGAATGTATGTCCGTAGACCTTGGTGTGCAAGGCGCAATTTCAAACTTTGTGGATGATATGAACCTTAGAAATATTGTGATCTGTGTGGAGGATTGTATAGAACTTGAAAAGGATGTAGAAAAGTTTGTGGAGTATATGAACAGGTGGTAAATTATGTTTAATGCAGAGAGATGTACTGTGATTCATTTTGTGGTGCAGTGATAGTATCCCTATCCCTGAATTGGGATGCCCAGGTTCAAGACCCATCTGTTCCAGAGATGTGTAATAACATATGTGAGCAGGTTGATTAGCAAAATACGAAAAACATGGAGAGAAAATATTAAAAATTATTCAATTCAAATGGGTAAGTTGTTGCAGGAGCAAAAGCGTTACAGACTCACGGAGAAGAGTATGCTGATAATTGAGCCCACTGTTCCAAAAGCCATCACAAATGTGTATATACCTAATTGAACCACCAAAATGACCAATTTGCCTGACTAACCACTAGTCAAGAAAAATGGAATTCACCCAGGTTTGTGTTAATGGAAAATAAGTCTTTATCGTGAACCAACTGATTCTTGTACAAATGGCAGAAAGGATTACTAATTCTCTATGATATTTGATTGGGCGGCATGGTGGCTCAGTGGTTAGCACTGCTGCCTCACAGTGCCAGGGACTCGGGTTCAATTCCACCCTCGGGCGACTGTCTGTGTGGAGTTTGCATATTCTCCCCGTGTCTGCGTGGGTTTCCTCCGGGTGCTCTGGTTTCCTCCCACAGTCCACAAAGATCTGCAGGATAGATGAATTGGCCATGCTAAATTACCCATAGTGTTCAGGGATGTTTAAGTTAGGTGGGTTAGACATGAGGTAAATGCCGGGGAATGGGACTGGGTGGGATACTCTTCGGAGGGGCAGTGTGGACTCGTCGGGCCGATTCTATGGTATTCTATAACTTAAATTATATCCCTTTACAACCCAAATAAATGCACACTTATTCACGAATAAGATAGATAAAAGACAGGCACTTTGACATGAATATTATGGGTGGAAAAATTTAGACAAGAAAACAAAATTCTGAAGATCAAACAGCAGATCACAAGGAGGACTTAAGTTGTCTCTCTCAGTTCTATTGATTTTTAGCCATAATGATATGGTGTTGACTGTAGAGCAATGGCCATTCTTCAATTTGATCAGGTGGACCTAGGTCTTGTCTTAGAGTTCTATCTTTTAAAGTTTCTTGTTTGTTTTGTTTTCTCATACACAAAGAAGGGAGAAATCTATTTTGTGCTTGCTTGTTCTGGTTACAGTCTGTAACAAACTGCAGCTCAACCACTCTGAGAACTCAGGCAGTTTTTTCTTAACTCAAAACACTGGTGCCACTCCGACTCAATAACGTGACACCTCACTGCTCCATCGCAAAAGCAGCATTGTCTTGTACAGAAAAAACAAATGCGCACCAAACCAAAAAAAGAACTGAAGATGCTGGAAATCAGAAACAAAAACAGAACTTGCTGGAAAATCTCAGCAGGTCTGGCAGCATCTGTGGAGACAAGACAGAGTTAATATTTCAGATCCAGTGACCCTTCTTTGGGGCTTCTTCAGAAAAAATGTGCACAACTTCATTTTCCAAGTTCCAAATCTCTCCTGGTATGACACTACTTTGCAGTGTCTGACTCTCCTTCCAGTCTACATCCAAAAAGGAAAAGTATATGGTTCCTTACAGAAGGTAAATAAAATTAGAAAGTTAAATGCATAGCTCAAAGATTGATGTCAAAGAACTGGCTTTTTTTTCTTGGGATACTGGCACCAGCAATGGAGAAAATAAGAACTGGACCTTGTAATAATCTTCATTTGAACCACGCTGAGACTACTACTTTGATGACTCCTATAACTAAGGCAGAAGAGAGAGAGAGAGACCTTAAACTAAATAGTGGGCAATGCAGGATCAATAAGGGAGCAAATTTGGAAAGATTTGATAAATTGAATAGAGAAGGCAAAGTATTGATAAGGAAACTAGCAATCAGAGTGCAGCAGGAAGAGACAGTGTAGAAGTAGAAAACAGACTAGGCTAGAGTTTACAAAAATAGTAAAAAAATAAAACTACAGGCTCGGTCTCCAAATACACATAACATTCATTTAAAAAAAAAGGATGAATGGACAGAAGTGGTAATAAATATAAATCATCTGATAACTATTACAGAGATATGCTGCCAGATGACACATTCTTTGATATGAATGATCAAGAGTATATAACATTTATAAAGGACATGGAACTAGGAAAAAGTAAGGGGTAACTTTATTCATTAAGCATGACATTAGTGTGAGATAGAAAGATGTCTTAGTTCTGAAGATCAAGATACAGAATCAATTTGGAAAGAGAGAAGAAATGTTAAAGTTAAGAAGTTACGTGTGTGGCCAGCTTATAGCCTGCTAACTACTATATGGACAGGAAGAAATAATAAGGACTTATGACAAAGATACAACCATAGTCATGGGTAACTTTAATATCTGTATTGATTGGGTATATCAGATTGATAAATGTAACCTGAGTTTGTTTTCAGGACCGTTTTTGATGTAGAGCAGCATGTTCTGGTGCCAACCGGAGACCAGGATACACTCAACCTGGTATTTTGCAATAAGATAGGATTAACGAATGACCTCCTAGTGAAAGACCCCTGAGGTAGCAGCAATCAGTTTGAGGGATGAATCTAAAAGTAGTGTTTTAAATTGAAATAAGGGCAACCATGAGGGTGTGAAAGGAGAGCTGAGATTTGAATTGATTTATTATTGTTGCATGTATCGCGATACAGTGAAAAGTATTGTTTTGTGTACTATCCAGGCAAATCATACCTTACATAAGGACTTCAGGGTATTCGAGCAGAATGTAGAATATAATGTTATAGCTACAGAGAAGGTGCAGAGAAAGATCAACTTTAATATATGAAAGGTCTATTCATAAGCCTGATAATAGCGGGGAAGAAACTGTTCTTGAATCTGTTGGTACATATCTCCAAACTTTTGCATCTTCTGCTTGATGAAAGAGGGTGGAAGAGAGTATAACTGGGACGGGAGGGGTGTTTGGTTATGTTGGCTGCTTTCCTGAGGCAGTGGAAAGTATAGACCGAGTCACTGGAATGAAAGCTGGTTTGCATGATAGACTGGCCTGCATTCACAACTCTTGAAATTTCTTGTGGTCTTGGGTACAGCAGTTGCCATACCAAGCTGTGATGCATCTAGATAGAGTGCCTTCTATGGTACATCTACAACCATTGTTGACAGTCATTATGGACGTGCCAAATTTTCTTAGCCTTTTGCGGAAGTAGAGGCTTTCTTGACTGTAGCATCGATGTGAATGGACTAGGATAGATTGTTGGTGATATTTACCCCTAGAAACTTGAAGTGCTCAATCATCTTTACCTCTGCACCATTGCACCACTGCACCACAGACAGGGCATGTCCTCCATTTCACTTCCTGAAATTGATGACCAGTTCCTTCGTTTTGCTGACATTGAGGAAGAGATTGGTGTCTTTACAGCATGCCACTGAGCTCTCTATCTCTTTTCTGTACTCTGTCTCATTGTTGTTTGAAATCCGACCCACTATGGTGGTGTCATCAGCGAATTTGTAGATGGAGTTACAGCTGAATTTGGCTACACTGTTGTGACGATATAAGGACTAGAATAAGGGACTGCGTGTGCAACTTTTCAGGGCACCAGTGTTGAGGATTATAATGGACGAGGTATTGTCGCCTATCCTTACTGATTGCAATCTGCTGCTCAGGAAGTTGAGGATCCAGTGCAGAGTGGGGAGCAGTATCCTAGCTCTTGGAGGATTAGGAAATGAGTTTGGTTGGAATTATGGTGTTGAAGGTAGAGCTAAAGTCAATAAATGGAAATCTGACGTAGGTGTCCTTGTTATTCAGATGCTCCAGGGATGAGTATAGGGCCAGAGAGATGGTGTCTGCTGTGGACCTACTGCGAGGATGGTGAATAGTAGTTGATCAAGGCGATCTGGGAGGCTGGAGGTTATATATGCCATTATTAACGTCGACTGTTTCCCACGGAGGAAAGAAGATAGAGACAGTTTTCTTGAGGTATGCGAGTGCTTGAGGCATTTGAGCAGATGGAACAACTGTTCCCACTTGTGAAAGGACTAAGGGCACAAAATTAAATAATTGGCAAAATAAGCAACCGCAACACGAGGAAATAACTTTTTTATCCGTGCAGCCAGCACTCAAGGTCCAGAATACACTGCTGGAGACTGGTTCAATCGATGTCTTCGAAAGGGAATTGGACTGTGATGTGAAAGCACAGTGTGGAGCTGGAGGAATACAGCAGGCCAGGCAACATCAGAGGAGCAGGAAAGCTGATGTTTCGGGTCAGGACCCTTCAGAAAAGGGGCTAACTCTGACTCCAGCATCTGCAGTTTTTACTACCTGTGGACTGTGATGTGAAAAGTTTTTAAAAATGTACGGAAAAGAAAAGGAAGAAAAGCATGAAAAGAAAAAGACAGGCAAGAAAAAAATGTGCAGGTTCGGAGTAGGGGGAAGAAAGGTATGAAGTGAGTCGTTCTGACAGTGTAGAGATGATGCACGCCCTTGTGCAGCAATTTCCCTGATTGTACTGTGTTCTGGATGGGAAAGTCTGCCTGCGATTGAGGATTGTGACGTGGCTCCTCGGAGCGCGCTTGCGTGTCTACGGGCACCGCTCGGCCGCCGTCGCTCGTCGAGGTCGCAGTTCCACGTCAGCCGGAGGACAACTGGAGGAAGAGATTGAGGGAGAGATCGGCTTCCTCCTCCTCCTCCTCCTCCACATCATCATCATCATCCTCCCCGCTTTTTCAGCCGCCGTTGATACAGCGACACGGCCTTCTCTTCCCGTCTCCGGAGACCAGGTGCAGTAAGACCGTCGCCTGGCAGCGGAGGTTGCCAGTTCCTGGCCGCGGCCTAAGGCCGGGTTTTGTTGTCGTCTCGGCCCCACTCATGCTTCCCGGAGCAGATTTACATCACAATAGGGAGCGGTCTTGTTCCCTCCTCAGATGGACTGGACTGACTCTTTGGCTTTAGATTGAAGCAAAATCAAATGAGGTTATGAATAATCCTTAAGAAGCCGATGTATTTAAAAAAGTGAAGGGTCCCTATTTAAAAATGTTGCTTAATATTTCCGCAACGTAATGTTCTCTGTTCACTTTCTTTGGGTTTCACTTTAACATTTGAATTATGCCTTTTTGCAAATGTAATGACTTTGCAATCAGGTAAAACTTTCCTTGTCCTGGAAAGTGCCAAGTGGTCAAACTGGCCAGGTCAGCTATTAAACTGTCGGGATGCGCAGCACTGAGTGAGAGGAAACTGCTGCTACATAAATATTAAGAGCAAAAGATTGAAATGTCGAATTTCTGCGAGTTGTTTTGTGAAGTTTGCCAGCAAGTTGTGCATAAGATAATCGCTTACCAGAAGCGCCGGTGAACCAATTTTTCTTTCATTTAGAAAAGCTTTAAGCTTCAGTTTCAGCATGCATTTTAAAATGGAATCGTAATTTTCTCCAGTATATTTGGGATTCCATTCCATTCCTTATCAATAAGACCTTCTTTCTGGTTTAAATCTGTATTTGTCTTCTTGCCTAATTTTGCACTTTATTTTTTAAAGTAATCTGCCATTTATCATTTCCAAATTTGTTGCCTTTTAGATCTCCTTGGAGGTTTTCTTTCAAACCTGAAATCTTGTTGGTATTTCATAATTCTGACTTAATTAATGCTATGAATTAACATCACTTCTTTCTTTCATTGAATATTCCTTTTGTGATTTGGTGGTGAGAACTAAAGACAGTATTCTGAAGTTTTGAGCTGATCAGACAGCTGTAAGCTAGATCATGACTTACTCTGATTTGTGCCTACAGTAATTCATCATTTTATTGATTTTTGTGCTTTGAATTTTGTGTTTAGTTGTACATCTTATGACAAGTCTGTGAAAACACTTTTGTCACCTTCGGCTTTCCTGCTATTTGCACACAACGTATATCTGATTTTTCCTTCATACATATTGAACATCATCTGCCATAGCTTTGTTCATCTGGCCATTTTGTGTCCCTTGTCTCAGTTTCTGAGTTTCTTCCTTGCCCATCATAATTTAACATTTGCAAATTTGAGCAAGTTGCATTGAAGTTTTGAACTTAAATATTGTATCAATCAACAATGAAGTCCCTTACTTACGTTGGCTTCAAATTATACGATATACTTAAATGTACTGTAAAATTTGTCAATATAGAAAATGCTTAATTATTGCTAATAGAGGAATATTGATAGTTGCAAGTGTAGTTTAAATATGGGATAAAGCTCCAATGACAGAATATTACCTGAAAATAACTACATTTCATAACTAGCTAAGTAATACAATGTGCCTGAGAGCTTGATACTTACACTGCTCATCTCAGCTTCTTTGAGTGTGAGATAGCCTCTTAAAATTAGATAAAAGATCAAAGTGCAAACATAAATTTTTTTCTCTAATTGTTACCTGTTGTATGGAAAAAATGGTTTGTCAACCTCTTATTATATTGATACTTTCAGTGAATACATGGTCTTCAGGAAGGGAGACGTGACCTGCTTCTGAATTCTGCTGTAGTCCTTTCAGTTCCTGCTATTCATGAACAAACGGCAGAGGTCTAAAAAGCCATGATGTGAACTACAGTGTTATGATATGTCCCAGCGATGGCTAATAGCTAAAATGCTGTTGCTGTTTGTAACACAGTGCATCATCTCCAATCTCCCTATTCCTTTCCAAAACCTTTGGATGTCTGTCCCCTCCCAAATTCCTGCCCATCTTTTCTACAATTTCATGTTTGAAACCCACTAATCAGCCTTCTGCTCCTGCCCTAAGCCAGCTCTTATTAAAGTTACAACTGGCAACTTATGTGACTGTGACCATGATAAATAATCATTCCATATCTTTTTTTTTAATCTGTCTTCAACCTTTGACAGCGTTGGCCATGCTATCCTCCTTCAGCATATCTGCTGCATCGTCCAGCTGATTGAAACTAGCCAAGGGCAGTTCTATTCTGATCGACACAGTCATAGCCAAATAATTGCCTGCAATGAGGTATTTTTATTTGGTCTTATGTTACCTCTGAATTCAGCAAGGATATATACTTAACTATTTCCTATTTCTCCCCTACCTCTTTGACATAATGCAAAATCACAATCTCAGGTACCATATGTATGCTAATGCTATCCAATTCTACTTCAATTCTACTTTACGTACATTGTTTCTGATTTATCTCACTGCTTTTCTGACTCCCAGTGCTAAAAGGACAAATTTTCTCCAACTAAGTGTCATCTTGATTAATTCACAGAAACTTTTCTTCAAAATAGCAAGGGAAAAGAGTTATCCCTGATGACCTGGCAAATATTTTTCTATTAGTTAATATTATAGAATAGATTATTTGGTTGCATTGGTGTTCGTAGAAGTTTCGTATGTGCAACTCTGCTGCTGTTTGCCTACATTATCACATTAGCTGCACTTCAAATATGCATCATTGCTGCAAACTGTGTTTTGGAGTGTCTTGACATGAAAAGGACTTCATGAAAACAAATGCTTTTCTTTTGTTTTCACTGACTACACCCATTTCCATGAAAACTCAGAGGCCAAACCAGATTGTGCATGTCCTTGGTGTCATGTTTGACTCTGAATTTTCAACCGTAAACTCAGTTCTTTGCCAAGGCAACCTGTTTCTACCAGTGTAACGTTGTCAACTTCCATCATTCCCTCGGCTTATGTGCTTCTGGAACCCTCATCTTTGTAATTGGTACCTACACACTTGACTGTTCCAATACTGTCCTGGCTGGCTGCCCATCCAGCTTCCATATTGCATTAATTTGATTTTGTCCAGAACTCTGCTGTCCATAACCTAACGTGCGGCAAGTCATGTTTGCCCATGTGCTCACTGTCTCTTGGTTTTAAAATCATGTAGAGACAAAAAAACTGCTGATACTGGAATCCACAAAAGACAAACAGGAGGCTGGAAAAACACGGCAGGCCAGCCAGACTGCCTGCCGTGTTCTTCCAGCCTCCTGTTTGTTTACCTTTAAAATCAGGTACTTGTTTTCAAAATTCTCCCGTGGTCTTGCTCTTATTTATCTCTGTGACCTCATCCAGCCCTCCTGCAATGTTTACTGTGCTGAAGCAACTACATAATATAAATGCAGTTGCTGATAATGGTGGATAGATATTTTGATAATCATAAAACATTGTACCAGATAAGAGGGCAACCAAAGAAATGTTGGGAGAATCAGCTTTGCCCTTTTGAATATAGCTGCTTTAATTATGCATAAGTTAATTATTGACATGAATATTGTACACTGTGAATAGCTTGACAATGGTCTGTTTGTGAATTTGCTGACCCCATACATTCTGTTAATGTCCTTTACACAGTTTCTGTTCTGTGCTGAGCTACTGCATTTAAATGTCAGTAGCATTTGGGAGGTTGCAAGCAACACATGGTGTTACACAGGCAAGTCAACTATGTGTGTAAGGTTTTTGGGTTAGGTAAATTTTGGGCTTCTGAATAACTTGCTGATATTTCCTGCTGAGGCTTGTATGAATCGTGGCAATTTGGGTGAGATATTGGGGGAAAAATTGGAAAATTCATTAAATGCAGTGACACTACCAACATAGTAACAGGAGTCAGTCATGCAACCCCTTGAGCCTGTTTCACCATTCAGTGAGACCGTGGCTGATCTATGGCCTAACTCTATGGTCTTTGGTCTATGTCCCTTAATACATTTGCTTAATAAATATATCTGTTTCAGATTTCAAAGTATCAAGTATTAACTGCAGTTTGTGGAAGAGAGTTCTAAACTTCTGCCATCCTTTGTAAGGTTTTAGAATGCTTCCCAACATCTCTCCTGAATGATCTGGCCCTAATTCACAGACTATGCCCCCTAGTTCTAGAATCTCCAATCAGTGGAAATAGTGTCCTTAATGTACCCTGTTTTTCCCTGTTAATACAGAGTCATACAGCATGGAAACAGACCCTTTGATCCAACCAGTCCAGGCCGACCATAACACCGAACTAAACTAGTTCCATCTGCCTGCGCTTGGCCTGTGTCCCTCCAAACATTTCTTATTCTTGTAATTATCTAAACATCTTTTAAATGTTACAATTGTATCTTGAAGACTTCCAAGTGTCTTTGGATGTCCATTATATTTAACTTAATATCGTCAAGAAATACCCTGGTTTTTTTGCTCCAAAATAGATACCTTTGCACTTGCTTACATTGAAATCCATTTGCCACATTTTTGCCCAATCACCTAGTCTATCAGTATCCCTTTGTAATTTTATACTATCATCTACACTGTCTACAATATTGACTAACTTTGGATCTTCAACGGATTTGAATTTTTGACTTTCTCTGCTATTATCCAAGTTGTTACTAAATACTGTGAATAATTGAGACCCTAACACAAATTCTTGTGGGACAGCAATGGTCACCTGCCCATTATCCCTACTTTCTGTCACCTGCTACTCGACTGATCTCCCGGCCGCGTCAGTTGCCCTCGGTTCCACAACTGATCTGTGTGGGGTGGAAGAGAGAATTTGCAAGAATGGCAAAGACAGAGTAAGCCTTACTTGGGATTTTCTTGAAAGTTGTAAATGTTTTACAAAGGAAACTATAGTTTAAATTATCTTATTGGTTTTGACCTTTTTTGAAAATATTTTCAAGTATTTTATCTACATTGATTAGAAACTGAATTTTTTCTGGAGTTCTGTTTCTCAACCGACCAGATACAATTGTGGCACAGTGGCAGTCTCCCTACTGTTGGATCGTGTAGGCCTGGGTTCAAGTCTGACCTGCTCTAGACATGTCATAGTATCTCAGAACAGGTTAATTGAAACTTAGCTACAAATCTTAAGTATTTTGCCCACGTAGGGTGCAGTTTTGTACATTTGTCTAGATTTGGTATATATACTGAACAGAATGCTTTCTTTCACTCATGTACAGAAACGTTAGCAATAATGTAACTTACGAGGCTGTGTTGAATTTATTGCAGATGAAACATAAATTTGGACATTGTTCACAGATTTGTACTCTATTCTTGTACTTTACTTGTCAAGTGTGTGTCAAAATCATGTATACCTGTGATATAACTTACTAAAACAATACCTATTAAAACAAAAGTGGGAAAAAGAGCTTACACATTACGGAAGGTGAACTCTTAGAGTGAAGTTGTGAAACTAAGTACATGTACGAGCCAAATACCTTTTCCAGTTGATAGTGAAAGGCAACTAAAATTAGTTTTTTGATTTTAATCTTGGATGTGTAAGAGATATTATTTTAAACATTCATTCGCTCTCCAAACGCCTCTTCACTGCCCACTGTCTCTGTCAGATATCCAGTCTGGATAATACTAAGTTTCCTTCAGTTAAACTTTAAGCAGAGCAAGCCAGCATCTGGGCCATACTGCTACCTCTGTACTTTTAATATCAGTTCCCTCCTTTTCCCAAGTTGTTGTAATGGGTTGAGACCAACTCATGTAAACTCCTGTGTGCAATTTGACCACAAGTTAAGCTGCTGACCCAACCGAACAAAACCTGTTATTTCCATCTCAGTAATGCAGCCCAGCTACATCCACATCTGATGAAGTTCTCATCCATTCCTTTGTCCCCTCCATGCTTAACTATATGAATGCACTCCTGGCTGACCTCCGGTCCTTCACTACGTGCGAACTTCACCTCAAGCAAGACTCCGGCATGTATTCTTTTTTTACACCGGATTCAACTTCTCAAATATCCCAGTCAAGACTGAGCTCTAACAGTTTCCTGTCACCCAAAGCTCTGAATTTTAAATTCTCATTTATTTCCTTAAATTTGTCCATTAATTTAACCGCTATATCTTTGTCAGTGCTATTAGCCTTCCACTGAACTCTGCTTCTTTTGTAACTCCAAATGTGACTATAGTGTGTTTGAATTTTGTAGTCTGCTCTGCAGTGCCCTTTCTGAACATCTGTATTCTCCACCTGTCTCCCTGCTTTTAATGTGCCTTTGAAACTGTTTTGTTCCATCAAGCTCGTGCAGATATCTTTGTTCTTGACTTGGATTTGCATTTTCGGAGTATGCTTATTTGAAGTGCTTTGAGATTTGTAAGCTGTCTGCTCATTGATAGTGAGAACATAATGTGACACTTGAGACAGCCTCAGTAATTTGTATCAAAAGAAATCAAACCAACAAGTATTCCTTTTTTTTTGGATGAGTATTCACTGGTATGAACTAGACAGATTTGGAATTTGTACAGAATGGTCCAGATTGTTGCATGTGCACAATGGTAAAACTGTCGGGCTTCATTGTGATTTCTGTATGAGATTAACTGCATTTCTGGCACCTGCATAGTCTTGGTTAAAAACAGAAATCCACAAGTTATTGTTACCAATTCCCACTCTGTCTTTGACTGTATCTATGAATTCCTTACTGACAAAAATCTTTTAAATCCCTACATGATGTGAGCATACACTTTTTATGCTGTTAATTTTGTACAGAACATTGAAAAGGTAATACTTTCTTTTTGTAAAAGATGGTGCTGAGACTTTAACTTTATATACCAAGTTGTAATTATTGTGGGACAACCTTCCTGCTTCAGAAAACCTCATTTTGCATTTGTGAGATGTCAAATCCCTCCATTGTGATACTGGAAATTCTATAAAGTTTTAGAACCAGGATTGCATTTTTTTTAAGGTCTAATATCTCACCCGCCTTAATCTTGTGTATATTGTTATCTTTGCTTTGTCTGCAAAATGATTAATTTGTGAAGGATACTGGGTAATTTTAAGATTTCCCATCCATGAGGAATTTTTGGTGTCATTAAATACTTAGTCCGTTCAGTTGCCTCACTATTTCTGGACACAAGATCCCTATAGCTGCAGGAGAATAAAATTTATTATCGGGCAAAGTTGAACTCCACCACAAAAGTTACTTGATCTTGTGGTAGCTTTCTTTTGAGATCAATGGTAAGCGAATCACTTTGGCTGCACAGTTAGCGTCAGTGCATGCGTTGATGGTGTAACATATATTGGAATAGTTTTTTTTAATGTAGAGAATTTTAAGCAAATAATTTTGTAAAATTTTCTATCCACAGATACCCTGAACGCTTAGGTTACCTGATTTCTTGCTTTCGATTTGCCTGGGAAAACTGGTATCATGACAGCTGCAGAAAACATATGCTATACACTCATAAATGTTTCTTTGGACTCTGAACCACCAAATGAAATTAGCCTGAAAATTGATTTGGGTAACTAACTCATATTTACTCATATCTCACTGTACCCTGTGTTTTACGTTTTAAGCAGCACTGGGAGTCCAGTGTGCCCCTTTATAGGGATGCTAATTCTGTACCTGGCTATCCTGAGTTATCATTTAATTTTTATGTCAGCAATAGCAGAAATATTGATCTACCGGAAGGTAAAGTGGCAGCTCTGTTATCACTAGAAAGCCTTTTATCATGTGCCATCTGGTCGGCAGGTGAAAAATAGTCCTTTGCACTACAAGTGACCCTCAGCCTGAACGCTATGTAACAGATATAGGTCAATGCACATTATTATCTCCAAGATAAAAATCAAGTCAGGATGCGCAGGGGATTTTGAAATTTTGTACAGTTGAATTGATGAAGGATTTCATCAGAGGTAGGCAAGTATTAGTGTTAACAAAAATGTTTCAGGAAATCTGAAATAAAATCCCAAAATGCTAGAAGGTCTCTGTATTTCAAGTAGCTTCTCTGGAGGCAACCATGAAAATAATGTGTCAGATGTGGACCCTTTTATCAGAGTTAGAAAATATTACACGTGAGCAGAACATAGAACAGAGCTAACATAAGAAAGGGGGAAATCTTGACTTTTGCACTTTAGAAGATTAACACTGTTGAGGTAATTCTATTTTGTTTTGCCTTCCCCTCTTCCCTTCCTTTTTGATTTTTGGCATTGTCTGAATAGTCATTATATCACAATGACTGATTAAGTGCTGTTCTCCTTTCAATATGTTTGTGCTTAAAAGTTCACACCTGAACCATTAACCAGTCCCTGGTTCCAACGTTTTGCTTCACCCTCTGAGGATTCCCAGGATTTTGATTTTTTTTTTGTTGTAGATTTTATCAATAATGAGCTGCTTCATTGAGGATAATTTTTCTTCAATATTTCAATCCAATTTCATTTCTAAAAATCCTGCATTTCATATCTCCGGAAATTGGATTTACATCCTACAACTAAGTAATATATACTTGTGATCTAAAGTAAAAATGGAAAAATACATAGTTGGCATTTTTGAGCAAAATAATCATCCTTTCAGATATGTAACATGCTGGAAGATGTGGCTAACATTGTGATTTGAAGCAGTTTTCGGATAGAGTCGGATGTGGAATATGTGGTTGTATTTATTGTTTTCAATTAACAAGGCAGTAAAATGATAATTGAGAAAGGTAACTGGTATGGATGTACAAAATCCAGAACAGTGAGGTCAGAATATTTCAACAATGACAAAGTATGTAAGGTGTTTATTTTCTCAGGCACCACTCTGTGGGGTGGATCTTTAATCATTTTTAATTGTTTACGGCTGCAACTAAATGTCAAGCAATGCTAATCTCACTTCGGCCAATATTTTAAGGTCTTGCATGACCCCACTTTTTTTTTAATTATCTCTGATAACTTGGCAAAGACATTACTGAAGTTAACTGTTACATTTGCATCTCAATGATTTCATCTCTTGACAGGCATTTAATATTGTAGTTAAGATTCAACCTAGTGCATGTAACTGTAATATAAGTCACTTGTAACTTCTTGAATTAAAATGGTTTAAATTTCTATAACTATTTTAATAAAGTGGGCTGGCACACACAAAATTTGGATAATGCATAAAATATACATTTTTGTACAGTTTATTCTTCAACTTGAAATGTGACCTCTGAAACATGCAGAAGTGCTGTTCAGTGCCATATCTCCTTGTTACTTTGAGGATATTTTTGCTAATACCTCTGAAAAAGGACACACTTTCAATTACTCCAGTTGGTTGAGGGAACAAAATCTCTTTGCCTTGTTTGGTGCACCCGTTCTAACCTGTGAAAGTTTTAACCGACATTTTAAAAAAAATTATGGCTTTGTAAGATTGAGGTGTGACGAGGAAACACATTTTCAAATAAAAACGCAGTTTTTTTTTATGATCTGAAATCCACTAATTGAAACAGCAATGGAAGTGGGTTGACTTTTACTTCAAAAGGGAATTTGATACATACTTGAAGGGAGAAGAATTCGCTGCTCAATAGAGAAGGAACAGAACTTGGGACTAAAAATCAAGCTGTTTCAGAGAGCTGGCACAATCATGATAAACCACATGGTCTATTGTTCTGTGTCTTTGTCATTATGGTTCAGAATAATGTTCTCTTTTTTCCATCCCATCCCACTTCAGAAAAGGGAGATGTGAAGACCAAGACTGATGCATTAAAGAAGGTGATTATCATGATTCTAAATGGAGAGAAGCTCCCAGGGCTCCTGATGACGATTATTCGGTTTGTGTTACCACTGCAAGATCACACAATCAAAAAGCTGCTGCTTGTCTTTTGGGAGATTGTCCCTAAAACAACCCCTGATGGGAAGTTGCTGCAAGAGATGATTCTTGTCTGTGATGCCTACAGAAAGGTAAATGGAGAGTTGTGATTTGAATAATTTAGTAATTGAGAAGTGCTGCCAGTACATGATGAATTTGAACAGTAAGCTCTTGAATGAATAACTTTGTTTCTACCGAATGATTCCAGTCTTCTCAAAAATATCGTTCTACTGCAACGTTTGATTAATGTTTTCTCAAGAAAATGACAAATAATAGAATTTGACATTCTTTTGTACAAGACATCTTCAAAACAGAACAGCCGTGGTTCATCTTTTAGAAGCAAGTTTGAGAAAAGAAAAAGTTGAGTGGTACAAAATGCAGTTTATTCTTAACTTTGAAATCAATTTTAGGAAATATCTCTACAATATCTAATAAAATAATTTGAACGAAGTGATTTAACATTAGTAAGAACAGACTAAATGTAAAAGAACTATTGGATTAGACAGTGGATTTCAAATGCTAATTCACCAAAAAGTGACTTTTTAATTTCAGACTAAAACCAATCTACAGTAGGGAATTTATTTAAAACTCTGCCCTTTCATCTCAAGAACTAAAGTTAACTTTCACCAGATAGAAAGATTGAAGTCTTCTTTCTAGGCAACTAGGAGAATATATCCCTAAACCAATGATGATATTTTTATAAAAATGTTTTATTGTTAAGGAAAATGTCTGTTATGTGTTACTGGTTTAATAGTGCAATTGTAGAAAAGCCTGAGACTGATAAGATAAATGAGATAAAGTGCTAGACCAAGAGGTTTTCCTTTCTGTGCACTCTAGGATCTGGGAGACAATTTTGGTAATGTGAAGAACTAAGTATTTTTTAAGCAAGCTTCTCATTCATTTGGTACAGTCAAACTTAAAACCAACAATGAACCAGTGCAATCAGTCAAAGTTTTGAGAATGTTGAGATTTTTTAAAATTTCCGTGATGTGTTTAAGTTTGTTAACAGAGTGGTAACCTGGTGAGGTTTTAGTAATACAGTTGAAAATAGATTTATCATAAAGCATTTTCAATCTGCGTTTTGCTCAACACCTGTGAGTCAACCAATTTCACTGAATAGAGTCATTTACAAGTTATATTGATGCACAGGATTTCATTTCTTAGTACATTGTGACAAATTTAAAAGTTGACTGTTGCCAAAACAAAAGCATGGCACAACTTTAAGGAACTCTTCCAAGATCTGCAAACACGTATAATTAGCATAAACTGACTTATTGATTTGGTCTGGAGGTGCAGCAAGTTTTATGGGCAGGCCAAATTTCAGGTACACTTTTAATGTAAGTTAACACTGTTGACTGTAGGAACTTGATTTGTGCTAGACGTAATTTGCAATTAGGATTTATCAATCTTTTTATGCTGGTTTAGTGAATGGTTGCAAATACAACTAAATGAAAATTCTAGACCAGTAGTGTTTCAACAAATGGTGACCATGTATGCTGTCTGAAGTTTAAAAGTACTAGTAGCATCTTGTTTGAATTTTCTCAGGATCTACAACATCCAAATGAGTTTATTCGAGGATCCACTCTTCGTTTTTTGTGCAAGCTAAAGGAGCCAGAACTTTTAGAACCACTGATGCCAGCCATACGTGCCTGTCTGGAACATCGGCACAGTTATGTACGCAGAAATGCTGTGCTGGCTATCTACACCATCTACAGGTAGAGTCTTAGACTAATATTGCAGAGGAGAAGGGAATTTAGCCAAACTGGCCTGTGTCCAACTCTTGTGTAGCGTTCCAACAAATTCAAATGGCACTGCCCCCCCATTCCACCATTCTTTGTTTCCATAGCCCAGCAGATATTCCCCTCTCCTGTTTAGCAATTTTCAAAATCCACTTTGACTGTTGAATCTAATTTCATCACCCCTTCAGCATCCAGAGGTAACAACTAGCTGTCTTTTTTTTTTTAAGAACGGTGTCCTTATGTTACCTCTAGCTTTCTGTCAATGACCTTAAATCTCTGTCCTCTGATTAATAACGTTTCTACCACTGAAAACAGCTGCTTATTATCCAACTATCGAATGTTCTCTAATCCTTCTGTGCTCTGAGGAGGATATCCCAGTATTTCTTATTTTTCTATGTAACTGGAATCCCTTCTAGTTGATATCATTTAATTGTTTATGTATGGCCATGACATATTTCCCAAAGAGTGATACCCCAGAATTGAGCCAAACACTGAAGCAGTGTTGTATATAAATTTAGCATAGCTTCATTGCTTTTATAATTAAGGTCTTGACGTTAAATCCACAGATCCCATTTGTTTTTTCAACCACAAAAACAGAATGCTGGAGAAATTCAGATCTGGCAGCTTCTATGGAGAGGGAAACAGAGTTAACGTTTTGAGTCTAGTATGAATGTTCAGAACTGAAGAGTTTTTTTTTCAACAAACCTGGTTGATTTTTCCTGCCACCTTAAAAGATTAGTGTCTGTGCACTTGAATATGCTTGCCCCTACAGCTTTAATGAAATATTCCAGCTTCCTGGAATAATGTATCACTTCACATTTTATTTCATTTTATTTGCTGTGTTTTTGCCAATTGTGCCAATCTATATCCTTGTGAAGTAGTTTACTATCCTTATTTCCAAGTTTTATAGTATTTGGTTATTTTTAAATTATGTCCTAGTATATCAATGTTCAAAAGATTAATATATTTATGAATGTTTCTAATACTGACTCCAAGGGCATGAGTCAAGAAGAAAAGCCCTTTGTCCCATTGTGTTTGCACCAGTCATCAAGCATCTAATTTCATTCTGATCTCATTTTTTAACACTTGGCCCGTAGCCTTGTATGCTATGACATTTCAAGTGCTCAGCAATATACACATTACATGTCTTGAGGATTCCTGCCTCTTCCACTTAATTTTGGCAGAGAGTTTCAGACACCCAACACCTCAAATTCCTTAAGTTCATCAAATCCTCTCTCAGCCTCCTGCTCCTTATTTTAAATCTGTACTGCCAAGTTCTTGACCCCTCTACTAAGGGGAAACGTTCCTCCCTGTCTACCCTGTATATGCTCCTCATAACTTAGCACAATGTGATCAGGTCTCCTCCTCAGTCTTCTGTGCTCCAAGCAAACCAACCCAAGCCTATCCATCATCTCTTCAAAGCTGAATGACTCCATCCCAGACAACATCCTGGTGAATCTCCTCTGCACCCTCTAGTGTTGTCACATCTTTCCTATTATGTGGCGACCAGAACTGTACACAGTACTCCAGCTGTGGCCTAAGCCACGTTCTGTACTGCTCCAATGTAACCTCCTTGCTCTTCTATTTGATGCCCTGACTGATAAAGGCAAGTTCCCATGTACTGTCGCTGTCAAGGATCTATGGGCATGCCCATCAAGGTCCCACTTAAGGCCTCTACTTTCTGAGATCCTACCATTCAAAATATGCTCCTTTGTTTTGTTAAACCTTGTTACTTGTTACTTCCTCCCAGCAACTATTCATAACATTTTTCACTTGATGTCCCTTTGCTACTCTTGCATCCACATTGGCACCCTTCGTTTTAGTCCCATGAACTCCAAATTTTCTACGAGGACTTTTTTTGTGGTACTTCAATTGTATGAACCTTCAAAAGGCATTTGAAATTCTACCCTCATCAAACCTGTTACCTCATCAAAGAATCAATTTAGCCAAACATCATTTATCATCAGTGCTGACTTTTGTAGTCATACTTCTCCAAGTGCCAGTTAGGTTTGGCCTGTTTAGCTATCTCAAGGGAGTAACCTTCTCAAATCTCCAGATCTCTGGATGCCCCTCAGCAGTTTAGGATGCATCTGATCCTCACCATGTGACCTATTTGAGAATTGGCCATCTTTCAAGTACCTCCTTTTATTATTCTATCTATCATACTGCTCCTTCCTCGTTTTACTGCACTGTTCTGTCATGAAGTGAGTTGCAAGATGTTCATTTAGTACCACAGCTATGCCTGTCCTTCCCCAAAAGTATCAACTTTTTGGTCCCTAATCAGACCACCCTTACTTTGATGAAACATTTGCCCTGAAATAGAACTAAGTGCATTAACAATGGACCTAAGACCAGTTAGTCCAAAATTTAGAATGAATGTGAGCATTCTTTGAGATTTAGTTCGAGGGACAGAAACCAAAATTTTAACTTGAGTATTTCTGTCAAGGCATTGCTTACAAAGTGCTTCAATTATTTTGCTCTTTTAAGGAAAATTTTTGACTTAAATGTTGATCTGATTCTAGATGACAGCTTTATACAAATCTGAGCATGAAAATCTGTGATAGTTTTTCTTTTAAATTTAAAACAAAAAGCAGATTTTGTTTGTGTTTTGAGGTCATTGATTTTGCAAGTCACTTGCTGTTTTTACTTGTAGGAACTTTGAGAATCTTATTCCTGATGCTCCTGAGTTGATCCATGATTTCTTGGTTAATGAAAAAGATGCAAGTTGTAAACGGAATGCTTTTATGATGCTGATTCATGCCGATCAGGTAAAATGCTCGTATTCTTTATGATAAATGTAGCTGCAGTTGTAGCACAGATGCTCTGTTATCTTGTTCAAGCTATGTTAATTGGAAATAATTGCAAACAAAACAAATAACAAAACATTAAAAGGCTTGCACCTTTCCCCCATTGCTTTCTATATAATAGTGCTTCAGCCAATTAGAGTCAACTTCCCAACCAGTCCTGTTCTTCAATTTTATAAATTGTGATAGTTTGATATTTGACTTTTTCCATTTGTTCTGACAAGCCCAAGGCAAAAAGCATTGACAAAATGTCATTGCTTGCTTTAAGTTTCACAAATCTCAAAACTACTTATTGGGGAAAAAGCAGAAGAAAAAGTCTACAGAAATGTTGTATGCACAGTTAAAACATGACTAAGACTGATTTTATTCAAGTGTTTTAGGGAATAGGAAGCATAGAGTTGAGGTACACAGTTGAGATATATGAATGGCGGTGGATCAGGCTTGATGGGATGAATTGTGTACTCCTGTTCTAATGTTCTTAATCCTGTGTTGGTTTACTAATTTCAAGAATTCTTGGAAGTTTTATTATGAATCTTGCAAAGTTTCCTTTCCTGTGAAAAGTATAGGAGTTATCAATTTAAAAACACTTTGAAAATAAAATTGTGCGATATTTTGAAGAAATCTCTATCTTTTTAACCAATCAAAGTTCAGTTTGCAAAAATGAGCTGTAAATGGTCAGTATATTTGCAGGACTCTCAATAGATCCCAGATTAAAAATTACAATAAGCAATTATTTTTAACACTGTTTCTTAATGTTTGTCTAGGACCGAGCCCTAGATTATCTGAGTACATGTATTGATCAGGTTCATACTTTTGGAGACATTCTACAGCTGGTAATTGTTGAGCTGATTTATAAGGTGAGGTGACAAAGATGCAGCTTCATTCTGTGTGTGTGTATACATAATATAAGGGGATTCCAAAAAGAATGGTGGACTTGGTGTAATAAAGATAAAAATGATTTTTGATCAATTTCTCATTAATCTGTGTAAGCATTGTGGCCTCCTTGGAAATTGCTTGATGTCATAAATATTTAATCTTTTATTTGAGCCAGTCTCCATTTCTAGATAGATATTATCCTTAGTGAGCAGTGTTTGTCTCTGTGCCCTAAAATATTGCCAAAAATCTGGAAGAATTTGTCACCTAGTAGTTAAAAATATTTCTCCCAATACAAAATACAATAAATTCTAGGAAATTAATGTTTATTTCCTTATTCTTTGAATTAACGATATATTTTACCTCAGGTATGCCATGCCAATCCAACAGAAAGAGCACGATTTATCCGCTGTATCTACAACTTACTCCAGTCTTCAAGCCCTGCAGTAAAATATGAAGCAGCTGGAACTTTAGTTACACTGTCAAGTGCCCCAACAGCTATCAAGGTACTGATTTTATGAAGTGTTTTTGCAAAACTTTTGATTCACTCATTTTATGGTACAAAATAAAGGCCTATTTCAAAGGCTGAAATCTGACACTTGTGAAAATTAAAACGCAATCATTCTGTATTAATTAAATATAATTTTATTCTCGTGTAGCAATTGTGTGATATTTTCGTTGTATGGGAGATGTATATGAAAATAAATGCTTTTGCTTGAGAGGAACCAAAACCATCTGGGAAGGCTTTTATTTCTGTCTAACTGTCTCAAAGTTTCACCGTAAGTTTAGTAGCCAGCATCTTTGCCACTGGAACAGTGGGTCAGTGGTTAGCACTGCTGCCTCACAGCACCAGTTTGATTCCACCCTCTTGTGACTGTCCGTGTGGAATTTGTACATTTTCACCATGTCTGAGAAACCCCTGTGATGATCTGGGGCTGCAATCACTGACCAGTGACCACAGCCATCTTCATATGTAAAAACCAAAAGAACTGCGGATGCAGTAAATCAGGAACAAAAACACAGTTGCTGGAAAAGCTCAGCAGGTCTGGCAGCATCTGTGAAGGAGAAAACAGAGTTAATGTTTCGGGTCTGGTGACCCTTCCTCAGAACTGATCTTCATATGTGCTTGGTGTGACTCCACATGCTGGACAGATTTCCCCCAATGCCCATTGACTCTAGTTTTGTCGGCAATCGTTGTTGCTATACTCAATAAAATCCTACCTTAATGACAAGGGTCATCGCCCACCTTATCTCGCCTTGTCTCTGGAGTTGAACGTTTTTGTCCATGTTTGGATTCCAAGGCTGTAAAGAGGTCAGGAGCTAAATGGCTATGGCAGAACCCAAGTTAATCGTCAGCAAGCAGTTTTTTGCTGAAGTGTAATAACTACATGGTTTGGAAACATATTTATAAATATGTCCAGATTTCCTATGTCAGAATGGGTTATTTTTTAATAAGTTGTTCTGCTGTATGTTGTTTGACCTGATCATTCCTGGTCCAGAGAACCACTTTCAAAGCAATATATACGTAAACTAATCTTTAGAAATGTGATATGTGTATGACAGAACAATCTCGAAACTTCGTATTTTGAAATGAAAAGTTAATAGATATTTCCTTTGTCTTTATCTAGGCTGCTGCACAGTGCTACATTGATTTGATTATTAAAGAGAGTGATAATAATGTCAAGCTAATTGTTCTTGATCGCCTGATTGATCTCAGGGAACATCCTACACATGAACGGGTGCTGCAGGTAATGAACCTAGGACTGGTAACTTGAAGTTGTAATCTGTTTTTCTTTTTCAGTTCAGGCACTCTGAAGATCATCTTGTTTACACTCACTTGTTTTTCCTCCTTTTATGTTCGTGTGTACTATCTCACTTATGCGCATTCTTTACTTGCACCAACTGTCTTGCTTTGCTTTGTTTTCCCCTAGAAGCTTAAGGTGAATGCATTTTAGTTGAGCAAATCAAGAGTGAAATATATGATGTGTTCAAAGGCTTTCAAAGGAGTAGAGAAGCTGAGAGTGTCAGTTGAAATTTTAAAATCTGAGATTTTAAATGGGTGAGTATCTCAGAACGTGAAATTTAGATGAAAAAGAATAATGTTCAAGCAATTTTTTAATTTTGGTTTTGTGAATGAAGTAGAACATCAAACAAGCAGTGCTAGCTTTTGGCATCTACTTTGGAGAGGAGGCCAAGGTCATTGATTAGAGATTTACTGTGATGATACTAAGTGTCGAGGTTCCAGCAGAAAAGAGACAGTAAGGCGACAGAGTATTGATAACGTAGAATCCAAAACATTTATAAAAGAAACATACATGTGTCAGGAAAACAGGTAGGAAAAATACATAATATCCCATTTAAAGCACTGTTTTTGGAGTTGTAGTGTGTCATTTTTAATTGTAAAATATTCAGTTTCCCTTGTGAAACTTCTCCTGTTCTTAGTTATCTAGAAAGCAGAAAAATCCCTGATATGAAGGTTTGGTAACCCCTGTTAGGTGGTTACCACCTTTTGCATTTGATAATTAATCTGATAATTAATACTAATAGTTCATTTTGGGTTATATGTGATTAATTATGTCCTACCTATATAAGGAATTAGCCCTAATCTGTACCTTTTCTGAAAAGAAAGCTTAAAAATTACTTTCAGCTGACCGTAAGGTTGATTAATGCCTATCATCATCTTCAGAGAAAGTGAGAGGTTTTCAAATTTAACATTTAAAATAATGCTTTTTTCTACGTTAATGAGTTTAAAAATGTACCTTTCAGGATTTGGTGATGGATGTCCTTCGTGTTCTGAGCACTCCAGATTTGGAGGTACGCAAAAAGACGTTACAGTTAGCACTGGATCTCGTTTCATCACGTAACGTTGAAGAGGTATGGCCACCTAGTATCTGAGTAGTTTTATTTATTATTAGCTTCTAATGTCAAATCTGTATTTGACAACAAATTTACTGTTTGATATTATCACACAGCTTGTCATAGTTCTCAAGAAGGAAGTAATTAAAACAAATGATGTATCAGAACATGAAGACACAGACAAGTACCGGCAGCTTCTGGTCAGAACACTACATTCATGCAGTGTCCGTTTTCCAGACATGGCTGAAAATGTTATCCCTGTGGTAAGTGAGCATAATTCATATATGTTCTTCCCTTCCTGCTTTTACAGCTTTGATTAATAATGAGGTATGCTTTTGAGATACATTGCACTGTCCAGTACCTAATGCAAATGATGTACATTTCATATGCAAGCCTAGACAGAGTTGATGAACTATCTTGGGTGTGAAATAAGTAACAAGTGAGCCTGATCTTGTCGTCGGTGTCCACGTGCTGTACAGTCAGCTCAATACCTGTAAGAAACCAGGAGCTTGACTGATTTTTTTTTTTCCTCTGATCTCCTGAAGTCCACACAATGCTGTATCATCACCTTGCTGAGATTTGCTACCTCAATGCAATGCAGAGGTATTTCTTAAACCCTTTTGGTTTTATGCCTCATCTATTTTAAATAATGCTTTACAACTGAGCTAATGTGAATAAACTGTTAGTTTGATTTCATTGTTGGCTCTTTAAGAGGTCCATGGCAATTTCTGACAATATAACAGTTATTCTTGAATACTGTTGAAAATAACTGGATTTCAAACTATATTTTTGGAATGACTGCACTTGAATCATATGTTGTATTTTTTTTGACATTTGCTGTTTTAATAATACCTGCACAATGTCTCCATAGCTG